GTGATGTAAAAGTCCCCAAGTTCACAGAAAAGGACCTGTCCTGTAGATAAGACCGAAACCAATCAAGCACTGTGCCCCTTATACCAACACAGACTCTATTCGAGAAAGCAGAATATAATGATCAATGATGTCAAAAGTAGGGATGCACCGATCAGGTTTTTTGCTGCCGATCACCAATACCGATATCAAAGAATGCTGATCACCGATACCGATCACGTGGATTGGCCAGAAATTTTCTACAACATTATAATGAGTGCTACAAACTACATAATCTGGGAATAAAGGAAATGTAACCTAATCTAAAATGGTCTGTATTAGGGTTGTCACGGTGTGAAAATTTAACCTCACGGTTATTGTGACCAAAATTACCACGGTTTTCGGTATTATTGCGGTATTTTTTTTTAAACGTGCTACATTTTCACACTATTAAATAAACCCTGTATGTCAGGAAATATTGTCTTCAGTTTGTGTCTAAATTTTGCCTAAAATGTGTTATTTTGTAATTATGTTGTTTATTTGTTTTCATTTTTTCCCTTTAGTCTTTAAAATACCAATATTTGCCCATAACTTCTTAATTTATGTCTGTTTGATGTCATCATTTTAAAAATATTAGTTCAGATGATACTCAGTACTCAAGTAGCCTTCTAATCAGATACTTTTTTACCCTTACTTGAGTAATAAACCGTGTATCAGGAAAATATTGTCCTCGGTTTGTGTTCCGGTGAGCTTTGCAGATGTGGGGAAAATGTCATCAGGCAGTAATCATTGTTAAATTCATAATTATTCTCGGAGAGAGACCAACTCTTATCTGCCCCTGGGAGCCCCGTAATGCATAGCGTCATTTCAACATGGGGGTGTCCGTGACACGGTTTATATGCAGGTAGCGGCGCTGCGGCTGCTTTATATAGCGACTTGTTGCATTCTACCTCAACCCAAATCCTCGGATCACGCATTTTAGCTAAAACGCTAAAGTTAACTTGCCTTGCGTTGACTGTAGAGTTGTGGGTGATGGTCACGCAGATGTGTCATGAGATTTCAAGCGTTGTTGCCTTTCACAGACACTTTTTCTGCACGTGCTGCAAACAGGATAGTCGTCTTCTATAAACTCCTCGGCATTCTTCAAATATCTAAAGATTCCCGTACTTCCGACTTTGTCTTCTTTGAGGGATAATGAATGTCCTCCTGAGCGCTGCCGTCTCCTCCTTTGGCCATTATTTCAGCTTTAGCTTCAAGAAAGTTTTGGTTGTAAACAACAAAGCGCGCATGTACTGCCGGCAACTTCAGCAGATGATACGGTGGCTGGTAAGGGTCACCGCGCCTACACCGCAGCCACGGTAAACCCACCAAGATAATATAGTTTTTTAGCGTAATCGGAAGGTTGCTGGTTCGAGTCCCGCTCAGTCTGTCGCTGTCGTTGTGTCCTTGGGCAAGACACTTAACCCACGTTGCCTGCTGGTGGTGGTCGGAGGGACCGGTGGCGCCAGTGCTCGGCAGCCTCGCCTCTGTCAGTGCGCCCCAGGGCAGCTGTGTCTACATTGTAGCTCATCCCCACCAGTGTGTGAATGTGTGTGTGAATGGGTGAATGACTGATTGTGTTGTAAAGCGCCTTGGGGGGTTCTAGGACTCTAGAAGGCGCTATATCAAATACAGGCCATTTACCATTTTTAAAAAACAAGACGGTTATTATTATTGTCAACTTTTTTTTTTACCGGGGTTTACCGCTACACTGGTTACCGTGACAACCCTACCTGATCGGTCTGCTTTGATCTATTTTGAAAACTCCGATCAAAACCGATAGGGGCGCTATCGGCCGATTACGATCAAATGCCGATCCATCGGTGCATCCCTAGTCAAAAGCAGCAGATAAGTCTAGCAGCATTAAAGCAGCTGAGCTGCCAGAATCAGTGATCATTAATAGGTCATTCACCACTCGTAGAAGTGCACTTTCAGTGCTATGCCGTGCTTTAAACCCTGACTGAAATGTGTCTGAATTGTGATGTATGGACAGATAATCCTGTAGCTGTGCATGAACAACTTTCTCCAGACCTTTTGATAAGAAACTAAGTTTGGAAATAGGTCTGTAATTAGATAGGCAAGTTGCGTCCAGGCTTGGCTTCTTTAAAAGGGGATTCACTATAGCCTGTTTAAAACACAGCGGAACACACCCTGAGAGAAGGGAACAGTTGTGCACAGCTGAAGCAACACTGTCAAAGGCCTGCTTAAACATACGAGGTGGAATAACATCAAGTGGACAGACTGAAGCTTTTAAACTATGGACAATATCTGATAACTCCTCTAAGGAGACAGGTTAAAACTGACACCAAGATGTTAAACAATCTGGATAAGAACTTGGATCTAAGATAGAGGATGTTAAAATGGAAGATCTAATCGGTGAAATCTTTCTGACAAAAAGACAAAAAGTGGTCACATAATTTTTGAGAAGGTATACAACTACTTCCAATGCTGGGTGGGGTTCACAATACTGTTAAAAGCACTAAACAAAACCTGCGGTCTGTGACTATTGGTGGAAACAAGGTTGCACATGAACTCAGATTTTGCCTGTTTCACACAATTCTGATAAACAGTCAGACAGTCTCGTAGTGCAAGTAGAGACTAGGGTTGTCACGTCTTCTTCCGGCTCTTGGAGGGTGCAGACGCTTTTTTTCCTCCTCTCCTCCATATCTTATCCTCAAGGCCTTTGTCTGTCTGTGTGTGCTGGGTGCATGGCTGCTTCTGCATTTTTCTGGAAACTGAAAACTGAAATTCACTTAAATGGATCTTGTCAGTTGGTCTCTCAACGCAATTGATAACATTTTTTCAACGATGAGAATGGGAGAGGGGGCTCCCGGATGCCCCGCCGGGACAGACCCAGTTAGAAACATCATGGACTCCTGGAAACAGTGGAACTTGATTTGTTTATCTCAGCTGTCTGTGGAGGACTCTGAAGATGTGTGGATATTCGTGGTGTTGGTGTCAGGTTTCCTGCTCATTGGCCTTGGAGGCTACCTGGCTTACCGGAAAATTAACGAGCTGTCGAGGAATAATGGCCTGATCCCGGAGCTCAGAGATGGATTGCACAGCACTGTGAATTCACAGACTCACATAATTGTCGAGATGAATCGTAAGCTTGGGACTTTGGCGGAGATTCATTCATTGGCACAAAAGATGGATGCCATCAAGGAGAGAGTGGAGGAATCAGCATGGATTGGGATAGATTAATGTCCATTATTGGGATTTCGAGAGGTTGAGGACCAACAAACTGTAAGACAGAGAGGAAATTATCTCTGTCTGGCCCCAAAACAATTTCTAATCGGAATTTGGCGCCCTTGAGCCAGCAAGGCTCCAACGAAATCTCCCCCCTCAGAAGATATGTGGAATGTGCTGTCGCTATGGCAACTCAATTCTGTCTCCTTTCCCAGCCTGGGCGGGACTGCGGGAAGGCCGCTGAAACATTCCAGGGTCACTGCAACCCTCCAACCCTCAATGCTCCTCCCCCTATCCACACTGATGTGACATGCGCTGCTTCTATCGTGGCTGCAGGTGTAAGAGACTAATTTCATGTTCAGCCTGGATGAAAAACTGAGTGACTGATTATAATCAGAAATAAAATTAAAAACTTTTTTCAGTGTTCAACACTTTTAATTGGCATTTTATTTTGAGCAACATGGGTATGGAGCTTACTTCTCCCTTAAAAATATAAAAGAAAACAATTGTTGAAATTGACCTTATACCTTTATGGGCTACCCTGGCTTTCCACAGAATATATATGGGTCCCGGAAAGTCCCTGAAGCGTAATACGCAGCTAACAGTCGCCATTGCAGTCAATGGGTGTGTTTCCAGTGGCTGTGAAGGGGGGCGTTAAAGTATATCTCAGCTAAATTAACATTTTAGATCTGTTTTTATTTTTTATGTGCTATGCTTCCAGAATGCACCAAACTCAGCAGTTCAGATCTGGCCAGACAGGAAATTAAACATGGGAGCAGTGCTTAACATCTGCCAACTTTCAAAATTAAAGACACCTGCAGATTAAAAAACATTTAGATCATTTTCTGTGACACCTCCATGGCCGAGGTAAAAAGAACTGAAAAATAACCGCAGACCTTTTGGTGTACCCAACATGCGGGCCCAAATATTTAGGTGGCTGTATAAAAAACTCATTATCTTCTAATGACTTCATTTATAATTGGAGTCTATTTTAGACTTTATTTATGTATATGCAGCTGTAGCTACATCATAGCTCATCCCCACCAGTGTGTGAATGTGTGTGTGAATGGGTGAATGTTTATGTTTATGTATTTAGCAGACGCTTTTGTCCAAAGCGACTTACAAGTGATAATTGGCATGTTGCCCTTGAAGCTAACAACAACAATAACGACAACATGAACAACAAACAATTTCCAGTCAGTCGTAGGTGACAGTGAGGCAGCATGATGAATCATGGAGAGGAGGGAACAAGGAGTGGACAGTAGAGTGAATGACTGAATGTGTTGTGAAGTGCCTTGGGGGGTTGTAGAACCCTAAGAAGGTGCTATACAATTTACCATTTACCATGTAGTTGTGCCAAAAAACAAAGCAAAGTACATATTTTTTAGCATTTCCACAAGTGATGATTAATACTTTCATTGACTTGCTGATTATTTTCTAAATTGATTAAGTAATTTAACAGGAATGTAAATAATTATATATTCGAATCACAGCAAATTCCTATAAGTTTTTTTATTTTTAAAAACATTACTAGTCTTAGTTTTCTTAAATTGTTTTAGTCAACGTTGCATTACATTAACTTTTGACTTGTTTAATTAGTAAATAAAACAACTGTGTGAACACCAAGCTGCATCAAGTTCAGATCCAAACAGGAATGTGATTAATGTAAGAGGTCATTAAAATCTTACTGGCAGAAAAAAACACATTCTCTTATTGACAGGCCTTCTCATTACTTTGGTTGTTATGATCTCACTCGAACGGGAAATAACATTTGATGTAAATGAGATAATAAATACCAGCTTTGCTTCTGATTGGACGGGCTGAGGTTGCGGCGACGGCGGTCCGGGGATTCCAGGGACGGTAGGCACTACGGTGACAGGTCTGACAAGCTGACAACAGAGACACAGACACAGATCAGACCACAGAAAATTAGTCTTCACAGATAAAATGGGCAGGCTTCACCCGCTCCACCTCATCCCACCCCACAACACAACACAAACACACACAGCCATGCCAGACTCTTGTAGCTTCCACATATCTCAGCCTCATTAGGTTGGATGGCCTGTTATTTTACAGAGGCAGTGCCACATGGAGATGCAGTGTGCTCGCTAATGAACCTCTGCCTGCCTGAGTGAGAGCATATGGATGGGGAAGCTGAGAAGAAGATGGAGAGACATGAGTCCAAAGGCCAGATTCAGGCCTTTCCTCAAAGCCGCCGACAAGACGAAGGTGGGGGAGAGGGAAAGCTGCAGAAGAAGTTAGGGGAGGGAGAAGATGATCGAGGGAATGGGAGGCCCACTGGTGGCTCTACTTCTGACTACCTTTACTTGTCAAAGCCTTTTCATATCCCAATGGACCAGAGAGATAGAGGGTTTCCCTGCTGTGCTGCTATCAGGAAATAATCATCTACTGCTCAGCCTACATGGACAATCAGGACCACAAGGCACAAAGACAGGTTTCCACACGGGGGAGTTAACAATGCACTTTGCAATGCAAATTACATTATATTCCATATTATTTATGTATGACTGAGTAGTATATTCTATCAGCTCTACCAGAGCTTATCTTACAAGGACAAATAGCTGAAAAGTAACCTGGCCAAGAGCCCAATCCTGTCATCGCTGCAGTTGTAATTCAGTACAACCGTTTCCATTATCGGAACTTCTGGGTAATTTTACCAGACCTTCATGGCATGTGTGTGCCTCCATTTCATCGGGTCATCCCAAAAGGATCGCTGCCTGGGCCATTTCAGGAACCAACAGAGTACCTGCATTGGGGTATGTACTCAGAAAGGGACCAGAAAAGTTGCTGAGCAGGACTTCTCCTTAACTCATGCTGATTGGTTGTAACTCAGTGGGAAATTACATCGGCAGGCTGGACTTGGACGGTATCCAAATTTTAATACCGTCCACCTTCCACTGCATTTTACCACGGTGTACGGTATTACCGGGACTAATTTAAAAACGATGTCGTAAGCTTCAAGTGGAATTATTAAACTGTTGGTTTGGACCTTCACCGTTCAGAAAAGGAATAACAAACACTTTTACTAAAACAATAACAACATAACACACATAATATTAACAACTTAATAAAAACACAGCTTCTTAAATGATTTTTTGACAGAAAAAACAGCACGTTTAGCTTTTCCAACTTCAACATAGGACGTTGTGGACAAACTGCTTTGCCTCAGTGCTGAAAACCTGCTTCGATGAGTTTGTGGCACAGACACATGGGTACTTGGGAGCTAGTCGCAACATCTGAGGAAGACTGGCAGCATATTTCCACCAGAAAAGTGTGCTGTTATCTCTTTTATTAACCAGCTGCCATTTCGACCCGGGCTCACTCTTGTGCTCACGGGGCCTGCATCTTTCGAGGTCATCTTTTGATTGTACAAATGACCTCATCAGTGTTTACCGGCTCTCCTTTTAAGTTTGCTTCAAACACAAAATACTCCCAAACTACATAAGTTGTGTTCTTTTCAGACACCAAGTCACTTGATGCACGAGCTGCCATTTTTCCCCCGTCTCTCTTGGTACGTCTCCTCCGCCCTGTCACACGATGACATCACGTTGGTCTCAGATTTTGTAAGAAAAATGACAAAATTTCCCGCCAAAATGCGACTTATAGTCCAGTGCGACTTCTAGTCTGGAAAATACGGTAAGTAAAACTGAAAATTCAACCATGCATCGGATTTATGCATTAAATGACTTTAATTTTTCTTTTAGATTTATTTTTATTGTTTTCATCCTTGTCTTCTAAGTGCACTGCTTTTTGTCATGATGGTACTGGAGCTGGCACACTATTTTTTAAGTACGGCTGTATACAGCATTACCGTTATACCGCCCAAGCCTACGACAGACATCCCCAAACAACCAGCATTTGAAAAATTGGAAGAGTTGCTGGTGAAGCAGAATGGAAGGAAAAGAAAATATATAACGTTGACACTGCTTTAGAATCCAGTTTATAAACACCTAACAGCAAAAAATGCTGTGGAAACCCCCAACAACACCGCGTCGTGGTCTCCTACAGAGCGCTGTAAAAACACATTTCTTCTGTTCATTGGATGTTGTTTTTTATGTCCCACAGCCACTCTTAATTCATCCCCTGAACGATGTAGAATATGGCCTAATTCGACAGAATAAAACATCTTTAATTATGAAAGTCTATGGACGTGGGCATGATGCAACTCTTTTTTTTTTGTATATGATTTATTTATAACTTTTTCCACAATCACATCACATCCACATACCTACACACTAAAATAAAAGAAAAAAATAAATACATAAAAAAATAATATATATATATATATATATATATATATATATATATATATATATATATATATATATATATATATATAAAATAAAAAATAATACAAAAAATAATAATATGATGCAACTCTAATTAGGGCTGGGCGATATGACGATTTTAGACCGTTTTACGATCTACACATCTGACGGTCTGTCATTTTTGAGAGACCGTTTTATCACGATTCACAGCTCTGCTGTTGAATTTCTGCCTCTGAATGAAAATTGAACTTACCCCAGGCGAATGACACGCCTTTGTTTGACCCCTAACTAATCAGAGTGAGTCATAGTAATATATTAGTGCCCCGCTTGTTTTCACTTGTGTGTGAACAAACATGGCTTCGCCGCGGCTGAGCGACAACGAGGTTTTCGTTCCGAAGAGGAACGCAGGGTTTCCTTAGCGCGCGGCGCTAACAACTTAGTGACGTGACATGTCTCGGAGAAAGCGTAAAAACACGTTGGACGCTTCTTCTGAAGCAGGAAAATAACACTTCTTCTTAAGCAGAGCACGACGTCGCCTCGGCTCGTTCACCCTCTGCCAAGCCGGTGTTGGTACCGGACTGAGCTCGGTCACTGGGTCGTTGGAACTGCCCCGTGACTGCCTGATGGAAAACCAGCGGGTTTCATCAGACTCGTAGTTTCTTGTTTTTGCTGGGGACCTCCTGTATTCTACCGCTCCCTCCTGCAGTCTTCCCCTATTAACATTTAAAATGATTCTGTAAACTCCGTGTATCAATAGAAACAATCTCTGCCTCTGCCAGCTGCAGTAAATGTAGTTTCCAAATAATAAGAGGTGCATTCACTTGTGTATCTCCTTTCATTCGCATTAGTGATATTTTCAGCACCAGAACAGTGAAGCAAAGAAAGATTCCTGAGTTTGTTAGTAATTTTATTTATTAGGTGCATCTAACCTGTTCTATTTTTCTCTGAAATGAGATCAAATCAGTGCTTCTATGGGTTGTCTCCATTCTGCACTGGAAAATGTTACTTTATTTAGAGACTTGTTGCAGAAAATATTCAGAATGCGCAGTTTTTTGCTACCACAAGCGATCTCTGGTCCAGCCGCACATCAGAGCCGTATTTGAGCTTAACTATCCACTACATGAGCAACTGGGAGCTACACAGTATTTTGAACAAGTTAATGTTTGCACAATACGTTTGCAATTGACATGCTTGCACTTTAAATATGTTTACGATTTTAATTTATGTTAAGTTACTTGAAAAACGAGAAAAAATTGATTTTTGTAATTGTTTCTCTCAGGGCTTTTATCATCTCTGGTGTGAGTTTAAAATATAAGTGTGTTAGCACTGTGCTGATTATCCCTAATATGAATAAATGTTTATTTATTCAATGTTTCTCTTCTTTAATACGCAATTGAAGTTATGCTATTCATGGATAAAAAATCGTGACAAAATCGAAATCGTGATAAAATATTGGAAAAATTGTGATATTCTATTTTTGCCATATCGCCCAGCCCTAACTCTAATCAGAAATAATCATAATACGCAGATAATGGCAAATTCCTTAAAGAGCCAATCACCTGGAAGTTCTAATAAGGGAAACGGTCCTACTGACTTATTACAACTACGGTAAAGATGGGGATCACAAAATTAGCTACCAAATGAAATATGGCAACAAAATGATCATATCTTTGTTAATGACGCTATAACTTGTTCATTAAATAGGTGTTCTGAAAAAAATTATCTAAAATCTAAATTCTGATCATTGGTCATCAAATTTACTTGTTACTACAGGTCAACAGAACATTTCATACAATATACTTACTGGGATTGTAGCTGGAATATGTACACTTGCGCTTGTAATAGATGCAGGTATAGCGACTGGCATGGTCTGGCCATTAGGGAGCTGTAAAAGCACAGGAAAGGTGCCAGAAATCGGGCTGCAAAAGAGACAAAAGTAAAACAGAAAACTAGTTGAAAAGAAAACGTAGTTATCCTAAAGACAAACAGAAATACTTGTACAGGATCGTTATGTTGTTTTCAGATGACAACTGAACTGATCAAGAGAAAAGCGTAAAAAAATACCCAACTAAAAACAGAATAAATGAAAACATTGGACAACATACAAGTTGAACATGACTGATCAGTGACATCAGTATTGCTCATAATACAGTGTAGTATCAAAGTTAAAAAGCTATTGTAATTTGTGAAATACAACTTTAGTTAAGCTTTTCAAATGTAAATGTACACTAGCGTTATGTAAATATGCAATGTTCAAAATAGCATTTTCTACGGTAGCTAGAAATAGATTGTGACATAATGTTGCAATGCATTGTGGCATTTAGCCCTAGACACGCAAGCGTGTATTTTGCATGGGTGCCTATGGGTCTGAGTCGCATCACTCCTCTCAAAGTGATATTTTTGTCTTCAGAAGATATTTAAACAGGAAGTGACCAAGCACCGCTGTTGGTGGGAGTGCTATTTGGTCTCTAGATAGCCAGATCGGATGTTGGAAGGGAGATTTTTTTATTCGTTTTCCAAATAGAGTAGAAGGAGTCACCGCTCGTCTGGGAGAGGTGCTGGATCAAAAAGTGGAATAAACAAAATAAGAATCTGCACACTTCAATCTGCGATGTAGGAGTTTATTGGTCAAGCTTTCGGTCAGAGACCTTCGGTCAGCACAATTCCTGATGAAGGTCTCTGACCAAAAGCTTGACCAATAAACTCCTACATCGCAGATTGAAGTGTGCGGATTCTTATTTTGTTTATTCGTTTTCCAAACCTAGTTAAGGTCTACGACAACATGAAACAGCTGGAAAGGGAAGCGGGCTGAGCTAAAGACAGACAAAGCAAAGCAGTAGCACTTGCACCCAGTAGCACTACTGGTTGTGTAGCGCACCAGGCTAAAGCCAGAGGTGACAGATCATTTGCTTCTGTGGCCCCCAGACTCGGGAACTCTTTCCCCCTGAGCCTGAGATCAGTGGACTCAGTGGACTCCTTTAAAAAGCAGCTGAAAACTCACCTGTTCAGGCTGGCTTTGATGTGACCTTCATCATCACCCTCTCCTTATTCTGCTCTCCCCACCTATTCCGCCTTCCCCGGGATTCACTGATTTCCCTCTTTCACATTCACGCTCTCCCTCTTTGCATTTTTTAATCACAATTGTCTATTTTTGCTAATTTAAAACATATTTTTAATCATTTTTTAAAAATGTTTTATATTTTAATTTTTTTGTTTTTGTGAAGCACCTCATGATTTTGATCTTGAGAGGTGCTATAGAAAAAATAATTTCTTTCTTTCACTAGCACCCAGTCGCACTTGCACCATGATGTCAACTGTAGAATATGCTATTATACTTAATTAAATGGTTTTGATATTGGTTTCTAAATTCACTGTGTTATTTAAAGCAAAATAAATACAGTCAACAATCCTAAATGCAAATTATAAAAATGCTAAATGTCTGTTTTTCAATTATAACCAAGAAAATCTTGTGTAAATGTGCTGCTTTAATTGTTTTCCAACAAACATACAATTTTATCAATAAGGTGCACTTATAAACAACAGTTTTCTGTGAATATTAGAAAGTAAATAAATTTATAAACAACTGAGGAAGCTAAAAGTGATACTGCTCAATGGTATAAGGTAAATAAATGAGCACTGACAGAAAAAACATAAAAATCCCATTTTTTAAACTCAAAACCGAACACTACATTTTAATGAGCAACACTGATTTCATAGAATATTGTGTGAAACGGGGAAAAAAAAATCCTGAAAACTGCAAATAAATGAAAAAACAAACAAGCGCATGCCCCATGAAATACAAACTCACCACAACAGAAGTGCACAAAACAAGATTTGGAAAAAGACACCATGATCTTGTGAAAAACTATATGTACTTTTTAAATGGACCATTCAGTTACTTACACTATAGGTCTATTAGTGGGTGGGACTTGGGAAATAACAGAGCTAGATGTTGGCGATGGGAGAGCCTGCTGTATTACAACATTAGCCTCTGTGGTGGCTAGAAGTACATTGGGGACTTGGAGGGACGCAGGATGGACTATAGTGGATGTTGGCAGTGAGGCTGGCTGCAAAGATAAATCCTGAAAACATCATACAAGACCTTAGCTGCAGGAGCGTTTCAATGCCATCAGATCACGTAATTATTCACCTAATATGTTGTTGCTACGTCATACATGCCGCAAGGTTAGGAGTAGAAATGATCATTTCTATGGTTAATGTTTCAGCTAGAGAATAAGACAAGTTTAGCTTTAGAAATAAGACCTACAAATGACATCTGTGTAATCACCAACAATAAAACACCAGGCTTGGCTAAAATAAAGCTCTTACCTTGTCATCATTTGTAGTCGACTCAGGGTGGGGCAGAGGACTATTTCTATGTGTCTCTATAGTCGTTGGTTCCTCGATTTTGTTGCGTATGACAGGTGTAGCAAGAGGTGACAAATCCAGGGGTAACTGGCCAAAAATACCCCAGAGATTATCAGAAAAAGAGCAAACTGACAGCTTTCAGATCATCTGAAAACATGTTTCCCAACAAAGACCAACCTTTTTCGTGTCATCTTCAGCTGCTTTTTTGAAGTCATGATCAAAGGGACTTGCGAGTTCAATGAAGAGCCCAACTTCCTCGCAGTTCTTCAAAAAGCGAGTAGGTGTAGGAGTTTGGTCTGCAATGGAGAAAAAAGTTTTAGTCACTAAAATTGATGCTGAAATATAATCAAATGCAATAAATCCAACCTAAATGCTTACCAGCAATAATAATGTTGTCATTTCTTGCTGGGCCAAACTTCAGTGTCATCTCGTGTTTGTGTTTGTGGACTGCCAAGTGATCTTCATTTGTGAATCTCTGCACAAACAATAATAATGATCAAAGGTTTCGCAGCTAAACAATTTACACCTGAAGGCAACAAGTTGTTTCTAAAGAAATGCTAAAAAGTTTTAACACTTAATGCTACTGCTTTGAAAGTGGTTTCAGTGGTTTTTAAGGCAGAAACTTTAGGAACTTCACATTATACAGAACTCTGCAGCCCTCAGCTGACCAGGAAAAGCACTTAAAAGTTTAGTGGCATGAGTAGGTTCACTAGGTGGAGCTCTCTACTTGCTTTACGGCAGTTAGCGTTTACTCCGTCACTGTAGCTCATATAAAGGCTAGCAATTAGATTTTTCAATTTGCCGACCATTAGGGTTCAGCGATGGGATGAATTATTCGACCATCGGCGACGGGCTGAGCTGTTATGGTTGTTTTTATAAGAAGCAATTTGTTCATTTATTTGTTTGACCAAGCGTAAGTTTGTTAATGACAGATATTTTACACGTTACGCACAGAGAACATCGCGGAGATAAAAAAAAGAAAAGATCTCCATCAACAAAACATCTGAGCATTATCTTTCACCTTCTCCGCCTCTCGCTGCTGACAGTGTCCGCAAGCGGCACGCTGAAGAGGAGCTGGGAGAGCGTCTGTGACGCACTCGACATTGTGCGCAAGAGCGCACTGTCAAGTGGAAGCCCTTCTATCTTTCATAGTCAGGTAGACTTCTGGTTATTTTATTTGGAGAAATGTTTCCTCATTTTAAAACTGTGGCTTAAGTAGTGCTCGTTATTCAGCACCCGCTTCAAGTGTGTCAGCATAGTGAGGATTAATCCAGAACAACATTTAAACAGCCACGAGTCTGAGGCAAACGTCCAGAACCTCATAACCTCTTCAGCAAGCATCATGCAGATATTGGATTACGCACAAGCTGCAGGTGACCAGTTCAGGTTTACGTGGAGCAGAAGGAATGTGCGTTTGGGGCTGCAGCAAGTGAAATGTTCCTAATTTAAGTGAAATTATTTATTTGTATTATATGTTACTGGGGCACTCAGATCAGCTTGTTTGGATTACATTTTAATTAAGAATGAATGGAAATTGAATGATTATTATTTAAAAAATGAAATTTGTCTGCATACACTCCATTCTGCAATCACACATGGGTAAAAATAAAAGGTTATAGGTGATGATGTTACACATGACTATTACCAGAGTTATTTTACTATATATTCTATTCACACTATTGTTTGGGTTATGAGGGTATGTTTTCCATGTAAACAAACTGATGTTCACATTTCACTTTAACATTTCTTTAGTAAAAGAAATAGCTTCTGGAGATACACACAACCACACACACCTGCTCTCAAAATTCACCCTCTGATGAACGACAAAAAGCTATAAGTTTAATATAAACCTAACAACATGGCTGCATGTTCAAATGATCATACATATACTGCTGTGATGGCTATTTCAGTGCCCACGATCATTTTAACAATTTTGTCAGATTTTGAGGATATAAGAATGGAAGTTTTTTTTTTTTGACAAGTGTTTTGGTAAAGCTTTTATGCATTGAGTCATGAATCAATTAGATAAAACTCTTACATCAAACTTAAGTCATATTTTGCGAAATAACCTTGAACAATGATGCTTCAAAGAGTCTTTTATCAGTTTAATTTCAAAGAAGTTCTCAAAATCGGATTGCTTACCTGTCCACACCCAGGAGCAGTGCATTGGAAGGGTTTGTCATCACTCATATTAAGGAGTTCCTGTAACTTCTCCCTAAAATAATACAAAAAACACTTTTAACCTGAACATCTGCATTATATATATATATATATATTTTTTTTTAATGAACTGATGATCTATGAAGATGCAGAGCAACTCTTCCTATAATAAATATTTCTACTCCGATTCAGAGATGATAATATGTAAACACATGCTGGTTTAGTTATGATAAAAGTTAAAACTCCAGCTGGGGTCAGGTGAACGTTTTGGACAAAGACCATCGATAAGGGGCGGTTTCTGTAGTTGTTTACACCTCGGTGCTCTTATAAAAAACGTTTAGATACACTGCTCCAGACAAAGCACGGAGATATGTTTTAAGAGAACCGCATGTCTATTTTTACATATATCACAAAACAACTAAAGAATATATTTACAGCTAAAAGGATGAGCTACAATCCAGTCGCTTCCATGAATTAGCCTGAGCCTTGCGTTAACATAACCGTCGCCATATTTGAACACGCACGTAACGCTGTAAACAAAAGAGCTGTCAACTACTATTTCGGCTCCTGTTTTGTTACACCAAACAGAAACAGCTCACATTGCCACAAATTAGGTATATTTACCAAAGATTCGTACACAGTCGCTAGCGGTTTGAGTTGACACCTACCCCTTAGCCACAACCCTTGATTTCCAAAATCCCACGTTTTTTTCCCCAAGTATCGCGATAACAGATATTCGTTAAATGCCACATCCACAAACGATTGGGGATAATTCATTGGAGTCAAAAAAAGTATGAGAAAATAAATTACGGACCAATGTTATAAACTATTCTAACATAACGTAACTCAATTGTTTTTAGAGGAAAACAAAAACTAATATAGTCTTAAAGCGCTTAGCACACATAATTTGCATATTCAAGCAGACTGCCTTCTTCACACAAATGTAAACTTTAAAAAAATCAAATGCTAGGAGTGATGTATAAGCTCTTACAATTTAGATGTATTTAATGTTACAGAAACGCTTCAATTTGTTTGTAGCAATGATTGCTAGGCAATCCACCCACTTGAGATCCCTTGTGATTCTGTACCAGGCAGTCATCAACTTACCAGCTGCAGACAGATCTGTTTGAAGAATAAAGGCAGACATTCTTTAAAGTGATTCTTTTGAAGTCAGTGTTTAAATTGCACCTGTCTAAAGGTCAATTTAAAATATTCATGTGCCACTCATCTTTAACCCAACATAATTCTATTCTGTCAAAAAAATGAAAGGAAGCCTTTAAGTTTTGCATACAATGATAAAATTTAAAAGATCTGACAGCCAAAGCTTTCATTTAAAGTATTGGCCAATTACTTAATTCTTCCTGTGGGGAAAAAAAACAAACATTTAACACAAGTAAATCATTTGGATTTATTCAGTGCCATTACCATGCCGTTAGATCTCACTTGCTGCACAATTACACACCTATTTAACTGCAGCTTAATGACAAAATAATTCACGTGGACCCCAAAAAGCTCAGAAAACAAGGCTGATTCACTGAAAAGATGACATTCATGAAAGTCAACCCCTTCCTGTTGTGTTGGGTGATGTTTTGGACACAAGCTTCTGCAATCTTGAATAGTCAAAAACATGTATTTTATTCACGTAAGATGTTACATTTGTACAATACATGTTTTGCTGTTTTTGACAGTGTCTGAGAGACTTGAAAAATGTACATTTCTATGACACCAACAAGGAACAATTTTGGTAGCCACAATAAAATATGTAGTCACATCTGTAATTAAAGTGTTGTGGGGCAGTTTTACATAGCAAACAGGATAAGGAAAGCAACCATCAAACAGAAGAGTCCCATAGCTTCAGACAGGGCAAATCCCAGGATGGCATAGGAGAAGAGCTGCTGCTTCAGTGATGGGTTCCTGAGAACAAGAAATTGTTGGTGAATCCAAACAGAAATTGTAAAATTGTTTTAACAATAAATATTTGAAATAATTCAAACAAACCTGGCATAACCAATGATGAGACTACCGAACACAGTCCCAATTCCAGCACCGGACCCAGCGACTCCAACCGTGGCAGCTCCAGCACCAATGAACTTGGCAGCAGTGTCAATGTCCCTGCTGATGGCGCTGGTCTGGAAGCCTCTCAGTGTGACCTGAGTGAGGGGACTTGGTGGCATCACAGAAACAGAGCTCTGCAGCAAAAAAAAAAAAAAAAAAAAAAAAAAAAAGAAGAATAAAAACTTTAACATCACAAGAACCAAATGTGACAATTAGAAACTAAATCTTTGAATACATAAGAGCTAGTCCTCAGACAAAGTTATTACAAGTTACTAAGGCTTTCTAGTTAAAACCCTGTCCATTAGGGCTTCAGACACAGTGCCGATAAAATATAAACTTCAATTGCAATGCTGTGGTTTCAAAAAAAATAATGAGGGTGTGGAAAACATGCTTTCATACCTCTGTTTTAGCTTCAGGCCTGGACAGCACAGAAGCTGACAGGGGTCTGTAAAGAGCCCGGGAACCAGCACGGACCTGCATTAACAATGGACACAAGATTAAACACTTAGCATTGCTTGGATCAAGCTTCACATAGAAGGGTGTGTATTTTAAGTGCCACTCAAGAACACTTTAAGCACACACCGACATAGAAAACTGTGTAAATTAGTCAGAAATTGCACAATATTGATAGATGGGCCGCATGCTGATTGCAGGGTCTCATACTCTTATGTCTGCCACTGGTTAACATGACCTTGGAAGCAGTCAACACTGGACAGCAGATTTTGAACATTTTGAACAATGTCCAAACGGAGAAAGTGAGTTTGTGCATCCCATTATGTCAATAAGAAGTAAGCTGTGTGAGCTATCGGCTAACACTGCGTTTCAATGACCTTAGCTAATAACATTGTAGATGTCTGCTATAACGTGAAACTGTGCCACTGCGGCATTTCACTCAATCAGCAGAAACACTGTCTGCAAACCACAAAATCAGCTCATCAATGTGTTTGACCTGGTTAATTTAGTCCTTTAGCATTAGCTACAGGCTAACTTGCAGGCCTACTCTGCAAGTACCCTTGCTAGGCTATAGTCAAGTTCAACCGGAGGCCCACCGGTATTTTTAAGGATAACGAGGCATATCATTATGCAGAAATAAACAAAGGACGATAAACTCACCACAGCCGGTGTGGAAACAAACTTTGCACAGGCGTACATTTTGTATTTCAGGTAGTTTTCTCCGGTTCGGTCAAATCTGGTTGAAGCCCGGGTCTCTCTGAAAAAGGAAGACAAGAGACGAATAAGGTCAAATAGCTGTGAAATTGCTCCAGAGGGAAAATACAGGCACTCGGATGTACATTGGAATGTATTCTACACGCTATCCTCACTTTTGCAGGGTAACGAGAAGCTATAAGACAGGATGAGCAAAGATTTCTAAGATACGCTTTTCATTCAAACTGCCATTACACACTTACCGACTGCAGAGGTCGAACCACAGTGGAAGAGAGCGCCTGCGCAGTGTGACGAATAAAGCCCCGGATGACAGTGAAAGGTCATTTCAACAAGCTTTATTGAAAATGAAGAAAAGGCAAAGATTCTATGACAAAAGGTATTATTCACTAATTTAATGATTAAATATAGAGTTACTTTGTTTAAATTTTAATATTTAAGATTTACATAAATTATTTTTGTATTTTAGCATTTTAAAATTGAAAAATATAAAGTTTGGGCTGCAATAAAATGTTGACAATGTTGAAAAAGTAAGCATCATCGTTATTTTTATCTGCTATTGCATACATTTTAATTGGTACTGCCTAGGATTTATGAAGGTATTTTAAAGTTAGATTTTTTTAATTATTTGGTGGCTATATGATGCAGTACAGTGAGCTTATATATTTTTTGAGTTGAGAAAAATAATAACTTCTAAAAACAGAAATATGTCAGACAAGTTGGCTTGTGTGTAAAACTGAAGTCTTTTGTTGTTGTTGATTCAAATTTGCCAACATGTTTGTATTGTACTCAATCTAAATCAGCTACAAGTTAAATTTGATTGACCGTCATAAGGTGGGAAAGTGCCCCGCTCCCACCCAGCTCTCTGATTGGTTGAGAGAAGTCAATCATCTTCTGGCTAAATGGAATTACACACCCACACATGTGATACATCAAATCGATCAGCTTGGCCTAAGAAATCCATCCATCCACATATAAATCCATACATGCTTCAATCTACCCATCCATCCATCCATCCATCCATCCATCCATCCACCCACCCATCATTCCATCCATCCATCCATCCATCCATCCATCCATCCATCCATCCATCCATCCATCCATCCATCCATCCATCCAACATCCATCCAACAATCCATCCGTCATTTCAGTCATCCAACCATTCCCATAGCAAGTCTGAACATATGTTAATCTATCAGTTTCAGATATCAGCAAATTTTTCTAAATTCACAGTTAGGCCAATTGTAAAAATGTACCCATTAAACTATTCTCATTCAAATGCCAGCTGTTTAACATTTCAAATTTCGAGTTTTTAATCAGTGTTCAAAGATTACAGTTTTCTGCTGTTTAGCATTTTTTGTCCATTCTTCACCTATCTGAGCTTTATTACACTTGTTGGTGATTTTTGCTTCTAAATCTTTAAATACAGTCAGCTCATTTTGACAGTTTAGCTTAGTTTCAGCTTCACTTCAGCTATTCAGCAGCTTCAGCAATCATGTTCTGAATTCAGCATATGATGCTAAATTTACAGTTCAGCTAAATGTAAAAATTAAACTGTTAAACTAGTTCTATTGAAATAACAAGTGTTTAGACATTTTAGCCGTCCAGTTTTTTAAACAATGTTCACAGAGTTCTGTTTTCTGCTGTTTAGGATTAGTTTTCTTGATTCTTCACTTACTTTTTGTGTTTTCTTTGCTTGTTGGTGCTTTTTGCTTTCACATCTTTCACTACATTAAGCTCATTTGACAGTTTAGCTTAGTTTCAGCTTCACTTCAGCTATTCAACAACTTCAGCAATCAGTTACAAAATTTAGCATAAGCTGCTAATTTCACAGTTCAGCCAAATGTAAAGATTAAACTGTTAAACTTTCTCAACTGAAATAGCACGTGTTTAGACATTTTAGCTGTCCACATGTTTGTACAATGTTCACAGATGTCAGTTTTTTGCCATTTAGGATTATTTTTCTCCATTCTTCACTTACTTGTTGTGCTTTATTTGCTTGTGAATGCTTTTTGCTTCTACATCTTTTAATACATTCGTCTCATTTTGACAGTTTTGCTTAGTTTCAGCTTCAGTTCAGCTGTTCAACAGCTTCAGCTTATAGTTTCAGCTATCCAGCATTCAAACAGCATTTCTGCAAGAAACGCAAATTTTTCTAGTTATTATTATTATTATTATTATTATTATTATTATTATTATTATTATTATTATTATTATTATTATTATTATCAGAAGACATAATAACTGTATTTTTCAATAAGTACATGTGCCACTCCAGCAGGTGTTAAATCATCCATTATTACTTTTTTACATAGCTTAAAAAGTGTATTAAAGTCTAACTACATAAAATGTAGGATTTTTAATTATTTTTTTGAATAAAAATATGTGATCAGCAAATAGATCACATTGTAGGTGCAGAACCCAACCTTTGTCCCTCAGTGTTAGTTTTTCCTGTTATAACATTGCTTTCTGTGACCATCACATGTTTAATTTAACACCGTGTCCAGAGGGGCTGATGGCTTTGGCCGCTCTCTTTTCGGCTGGTGTTGGAGCTGTAGGCTACCAATGCCGGGCGGGTTTGTAATCGTGATGAATGACTCCGCAGCAGCTGGCCTGTGATGGAAAAGTAATGAGCAGAGGGAGCCTGCCTTTGCTGCACGTTGGCTTAAAGGAAGAAAAGTCCCAGTGGCTCCTCAGGTATGATCTTTTCTGTTTCACACTGAACATGAAGTCACAGATTCCTCACCTCATAAGGAGCGAGCAGATTCAGCTGGTACATACATGTACTAGAAATATTCAAGAAGACAGTGACAAATGTTATGCATTAAGAAGACATACAAGAGTACTATTCTGCTTTACTTTATGCTGTGCTCTTTTCTGGTTTATTTTATCCAGTTCTTTCTTTTTCAGCCTCTATGTAAAACAGCAGAGACATCTACTTCATTCATTTCATTTAACACACTGCATCCTGATACGTGTACCTACCTCCACGACGTAGGGTTAGACCGATATGAGTATTTCTATTGCCGATGCTGAGGCCAGTATCTAAATGTTTTCCACTTTATTTACATACTAAAATGTCAATAATAACAACAGCTGATGCACAACATTTCCGAACTTTAGTCATCTTTTGAACTCAGAATTTAACAATCT